GTTATAGATCTGTCTCTTATACACATCTAGATGTGTATAAGAGACAGGATATTGGGTTAGCAACTAAGTAATTGCCGATTTCAGTTATAGATCTGTCTCTTATACACATCTAGATGTGTATAAGAGACAGGATATTGGGTTAGCAACTAAGTAATTGCCGATTTCAGTTATAGATCTGTCTCTTATACACATCTAGATGTGTATAAGAGACAGGATATTGGGTTAGCAACTAAGTAATTGCCGATTTCAGTTATAGATCTGTCTCTTATACACATCTAGATGTGTATAAGAGACAGGATATTGGGTTAGCAACTAAGTAATTGCCGATTTCAGTTATAGATCTGTCTCTTATACACATCTAGATGTGTATAAGAGACAGGATATTGGGTTAGCAACTAAGTAATTGCCGATTTCAGTTATAGATCTGTCTCTTATACACATCTAGATGTGTATAAGAGACAGGATATTGGGTTAGCAACTAAGTAATTGCCGATTTCAGTTATAGATCTGTCTCTTATACACATCTAGATGTGTATAAGAGACAGGATATTGGGTTAGCAACTAAGTAATTGCCGATTTCAGTTATAGATCTGTCTCTTATACACATCTAGATGTGTATAAGAGACAGATCTATAACTGAAATCGGCAATTACTTAGTTGCCAACCCAACAGATAGTGAAAAACTTGCTTTTTTCTCGGTTATACTAATTTTTATAATAATTTTAGTTTCAACACAACGGAGAGCCTTCTCTCAGAGCTTTACAGATCTCAATGCCCAACCCTTCACCATGAGAAATAATGGTCCAAACCTCAGGCAATGTCCTTCATCCCGACGCACATCCCCCGTGTCCCGCCCCCGGCAACGAAATTTAATCACGTTGTGCAGACTTGGACGTCTTACATGCAGAAAGGGTTAAGGAGACCCTGGCTCGGGTGAAGAACGCTATCCGAAACCATCACCCCCCTCAAGACTACACGCCGAACGTCAAGATCTGTTCGGAGTCACCCAAGAGGGATGATAAAAATATTGTAGGTCGGTTATGAAAATATTGAGATACTAGTGGTACTGCATAATGAGTAAAATAATGTTTGTAAAAGTTGCAATTGGTTGGAATCTCTTATTTCATGCTCTTTTTGTAAAGACGTACAATTTTTAATAAAAATAAGATATATGAAAACTAAGAACGTTATATGAAGGTCTGATCGATCTTGAAATAGAGGGGGAAGAAGAGATTCTGACATTTATAAATAGTTTATGCTCCCTAAAGTTACTTAGAACGTATTTTCTACGCAATTTATTTGCACATTGATAAAAAGTTCTTTACCTGGTACAAAAAACTCTTATCACTATACTATTTTTATTATTTCTTTATTATTAGACACAGGAAGTATTTACCAACAGAAAGCACTTAATCTCTTATCATTGTACACATACATCCGTCTGCATATTTTTTTCCTATGAAGAGATCTGAATCTCCAAATGTATAATCGAAATTTCTTCCTTCAGCCATATTTATGTCCACTCCCGAAAACCCTTAGCTGCGAGAAACCGTAGCCATCTCGTGACAAATGATCGTGTAAGACTTTTATTTCCTGGCGGGGCCAAAAATGACCATTTTCTATCATTCTGTTTTCATTATCTACATCTGGTACATCATTGCCTGAATTACCGACTTCGTAAAAAGTTCGTAGTAGGAATAAGGTATATACGATATTCGGTATTTGCTAACTCGCTTAAAATCGTCGTATTTATGTCCACTCCCGAAAACTCTTAGCTACGAGAAACCGTAGCCATCTCGTGACAAATGGCCGTGCAAGACTTTTATTTCCTGGCGGGGCCAAAAATGACCATTTTCTATCATTCTGTTTTCATTATCTACATCTGGTACATCATTGCCTGAATTACCGACTTCGTAAAAAGTTCGTAGTAGGAATAAGGTATATACGATATTCGGTATTTGCTAACTCGCTTAAAATCGTGAACTGTCGATAACATTGAGTACGATACCAAAAGTGGTATTGTGGCCACAGTGGCTTCAAATACTCATTCCTCCCCATTTTTCTTGACAACTTTTTTCACATTTCACCCTTACTTTACAGCTTTCCGGCTTCCCTTATGATCTTTACATCGTACTCGTCCTTTCAACTCGAACGTTTCCTCAATGCTTATGATCCTTATCTTCATCTTTTTTTGGAACTTATATTCCGTTTCCCTTTGTCTTATTCCTTTCCATGTTTTTCCTCTCGTTGTAATTCCAGATGTAATTCCTCTAGTATCTTCCCTGTTACAATTTGCCTCTCTGTATTTTCTACACATAGTAAATCTACTAATTAGACTGCGATACGATTTTATTCCAAATAAAACAAAATTGCTGAGAAAAATTTTGCAATCATTATAAAACGCTTATTACAGAAGTGAATCGGTGCGGTTATTGTATAAAATAAACGTACAATCCTTATACAAAGTATCCGTACACCTTTTAAAATGGAACAATTTTTTAATAATTAGGCCAAGTGATCTAAATTTTGTTGATATGTTAGAAAGATTTATTTTACTAGACAATGGCTGAACGATTGTTTTCAAGAATTACAATTGCTTGGCGTCAAAGGAATTAAAAGGATTAAAAGAATTAAAAAATCATGTCTTTTTTTCAACTTTTCTATTTAAAGCCGTAACGATGATGTTTTGAAACAGCTCGATTTTGATCATGTTATTCAGGGAATTAAATAATGATTTGTGAATAATCTTAATGATTTGTGCAGCTTCCCAATAAGCACTGGTAATTAGCACAGACGTCAATTTTACGTCCATTTTAGGTCTGAACGTCGTACGACCTAAAATGGCCCTAAAAGACGTCTTAAAGACGTATTTAACCCTTAGAGCTCTATGGACGCATATATGCGTTTGGCAAAAGTCATCCGTGTAGCCTAAGGCCGCATTTATGTGTTTTCTCTAAGTCATCGGCCTGGACTAAGGGCGCATATATGCGTTTGTCGATTTTTTTCAATCGATATGCAGTTATTTTCGTGTAAAATTAATACAGGGGCACTCGTTAGCAATTTGCCTTCCTTAGGTAGCGGTTGGGCAATATTAGGGTCATAAAAATCCCCGGGAATTTCCGAAACGGAAATCCCATTTTATGTCCCA